AATCGGTGCGGGTAACCCATGTTGGTGATGTTACTGAGATGATTCTGCACATCGGGAGCAGTTATACCATGCACATCTAACCCGGGCTACATGCTTGAGTTTGCCTAGCACTTGTTAAAGAAAGGTGTCCAGTTCAGTTATGCACAATTGTTTAGATTTCCCTTTTTAATGTTCAAATGTTAAAAACGGAAGGTATGAGTGGAGGTACAAGGAAAAAACTGGGGTTGAGAGGGCAACAAGCAGAGGGGAGAACAAGGACCAGCAGATCGGGAAAAACGATAAAACTAAAAAATTTAAATAAAACCTAATAATTACCATTTTCGCAAGTTCGTTACTGACAATCATAGCCACTGATAAGACAGGAATGTCCGGAATGGATTATACAAGTATCCGGTCAAATTCGCTATTTGGAACGCCAGCTCTGACAAGCACGACCCCATCCGGTTTGCCCAGTGGACATCAAAAACTGAATTCAAAACGGAAAAAACGTCGACATCGGACCATTTTTACTCAGTTCCAGGTGGATGAGCTGGAGAAAGCTTTTCAGGTGCGAGCATTTCAAAGATTTTTTTAAAAGACTTTCAAATATTCATTGCAGTTCTAAAGTTTCTTGAGACTTCTTACAGCAATTCAAATAGTAGAGCATTTGCAAGTAGAACTTTTCTGGTTTCCTTAAAAGTTTTTCGCGCCGTAAAGCTATTCCATGTCAAAATTGTCTCCTGTCCCACTGTATTTACTTCTCTTATAATTCACTTTTAACCTGACAAGTTCTGCTATGTGCCGGATTTGCCTGGTACTCAGACGCGCCTAATACTACGAAATGAGTTATGAAAGATGGGTCTCCAACTGTGGTAATAAATCCTGCCCATACCATCATTGTAGTGGACTAGTATCCAGATAACAACAGCACAGAGGATGAAAAAAAGCAGGGTGCGGGAAAAAGGCAAACGCACGAGACTGTAACAGACAGTGCAAGCCAAATTTCTCTCTGAAGATATTTTTGTACAACTTTTTTGCTAAAATACCTCACCTTTAACCCTAAAATGCATATTCATAAGTATTTTAATTAGTTAAATGAGAGTTTTTGGTAACTTTCTGCTTGATATTTTTTTATGCTTACAAAAACTGTTAGATTTATCACCATGCTTCAGGAAGCTCATTATCCAGATATGTATGCTCGCGAAGTGTTAGCAATGAAGACCGAAATTGCTGTCGATCGGATACAGGTAGCAAATCTATTTGTCATAAACATGCTCAGGAACGAAAAAAATGAAGGGCAAAAATTCTTTAATTTCCCTCGGAAAGTATTGTCAGAGTTAAAGTAAAAATCTAAAATCTAACTGGCTCAGGTCTAGAAATGTATTTGACGGACTGAAGGCATCAGTGATTTTGTGCAGTGCGGTGAGTAGGAAAAAAAATGCTTACAAAACTTGCTAGGTATGGTTTCAAAATCGTCGAGCAAAATGGAGGAAGACGGAAAAAACGTGGGGTAAAAGCACGATAATGGCAGAGTATGGACTGTACGGTGCGATGGTGCGACATTCGTTACCTCTGCCGGAAACGATTACTCGCTCATCCGAAAATCCAACAGAGTCCGCTGCCCCCTGGCTATTAGGTTTGTCTTACAACTCTTCGAAATTTGTGTTATGTGGCGTGAGAGGGTGGCTACCCTGCTGTAAATCACCTCCTCGGGAACCATCAAGAAATTCGATGTCTAGTCTTTACTTTTCCCTTTCAGTTATTCACTTTTTTAAGCAGTTTGGTATCTTCCAAGGAGTTTTTGTTTCCCAGGCCCTCCCCGCTCCAGCTCGCTCCGC